CACTTATTGATGTCTTCCAACCGCCGCCGCAGGCGGCCTAGACCTGTGTCTTGCCGTAGCGTAGCACGGGTCTAAACGCTTGTATATACTAAAGAGCAAAGTACTGCACAGTTGGTCTTATGACTTCAAGCCAGAAGGGATTGTGGATATTCTTTGACACGGTTAACATCTACAATATTAATGTAACCATAATGATGCACCCAGTCTCAACAGGTCCGAGTCTCAACTTGGTCTCAACCGGTACATTGGACATTTCTCAATACCTGAAATCGAGTTGGAAGCTAAACCAACCACAGTGCTAGTAATATCGGGCAATATGCTCCACCAGCAGCGGAATCGGTATTAATCTTTCTCGGTCTAAATAAAGTAATGTAAGGAAATCGCATTGCACAGCTACCGCGCGATCTCCCTTGGTTCTCTATTGAAGATATTCCAAGGCAAGTCGCCAGGATGTGATTCAAGGTAGAAAATTTACCGTGCACCTGTGACATCCAACACTAATTCTACCCCACAAGTAAGATCCAGCGCTAGCCCAATAGCCAACAAGTCGCGCGCATTATTTAACCTGAGTTAGCTTTCAAGCCAGGTTCTTTGCATAACTCCATTGGCTGTCCTCTAATTCAGTTCACGGCGAGACATCTCAGGATCAGGACTCGCAGCCGCAATGTATCATCATGACTCGCTCTGACAGTGACTGTTCGTTGCTCATTGAACCGGCACTGAATTGAATATGATCGACCAACCTTGTACATAGGTCAGGGCTATCGTCTTGAAGTCCTAGCAACACCAACTCCCACTTATGTCGTGCCAAGAACGTGAGGAAGAGCTCTTCAGCGTGCAGGCCATCTACAACGATGACTTCAATACTTTCGAGGCCCTGGATGAAACCCATTTCCGCTTCCGCTCGGTGCCCATTGTTCTGTCGATTGTGGTGCCATTGGCATACCCTGATCCTGCCCACCTGCCTGAAATCACAATTGAGTCAGATGGGTTAGGTGTCAGCCATCTGCAAATGTTCCAGCTCCGAATGCGCCTCGAGGCCATTATACAGAACAAGTGCCACGAACCGGTGTTGTTTGACCTTACGGAGGAAACTAGGGAGTTCACTGAAGGTTTACGAGACGACGTCAAGCTGTGCCTCGAGGAGGAAGAGGAAGATGAGAACGAAGAGTGGGTGGATTATAGCCCCAATGATGATAAGCGTAGGTACCCATTTTGGCTGTATTTTTCCTTCTCTAAAATCCTGGTTCTCGTCTACTAGGCATCACCGACACCGCAACCGTCCAGTCCCATATGGGCGCCCTGACGCTTACTGCCATTGCAAAACAACTCCCGCCTGTCACACAACTTTTACATGCCGAAATTGTTTTGCGTACGGATCTACGCAAGCGATACATGAACATGCGCCGCACGATCCAGCAGGCTGCGACGCATGGTATTCGGGACCGGCGTGCCAAGGACGCTGCATGGGACAGCTTTGGGCAGGAGGAGATCGTGTTCCACGGGACACTCCGCCAGCATGTCGGATCAATTGTGCGCTCGGGTTTTGTAGTCCCAGGAGAGAAGACTGTGACTGGAGAGACTGTGGGCGTGCGCTGTGGGTCGACATGGGGCCAGGTACGTTTGTCATCACAAGCGCTTTTTTCAATAGTGATTAGACTTGGTGTCACAGGGAATTTACACATCGCCCGATCCAGGATACAGTCTGAGGTGTGTTTATAACTCTTGTAGTCGACGCTTTGATGTTTAACTTGCACAGCTACACGGATTACACGCCCGATGGCAGTGTCAAAGGCAAGCGCCGGCTCCTCCTTGGTCAAAAACTAGTAAGATATTGCCCGTTCGAATTCGCCCAATACTAAATGATTCAAATTGGCGTTCACAGATTGTATGCGCAATCGTCATGGGTAGGCGCCGGGACATGTCCGACCCATGTCGTGGCGTCCGCAGCACCGAGAATGGCTTCGACAGCCATGTCTGTCCTAGCAAGAAAGAATATGTCGTCTTCCACTCCGCGCAGGTGCTCCCGCTGTACGTCCTCCACATCGGCGACGCAAATCACAAAAAGAGCGTCGCCACAAGTTTCAGCAACAACAGTGTGCAGGCCACGGTGCCCGAGCTGACAGCATACGCACGCAAGCACCTCCCACAAGGATTCGGAGCGGCTAGTGGGCACCGGTTTGTGGTGGAGGCGATCGCACCTGTAGATGACGACGAGGAGTTGTGGGGTGAATATCAGCATGACAGCGAGGGCGTGGATAACAAGGGAGAGTTCCAGGATGAACGATTGGTCTACCATTGGAAGAATTATCAGTGGAGAGGTTAAGCTAACACCGGCGCACCTAGTGGCGGCGACAAACTCTACTTCAGTTCTTCCAACCCACCTTGCGGTGCTGTTTTTATTGTTGTCCGACTACGACCAGCCTTTTTTTCAGTAAGTCCTCTTTGAATTTATTTCTAGCTTATGACTGAAGTATCCTGGCTATCTCACCCAGCTTTGCAACACTGTCCACCCCACAGGCTGTTCAAGTATTCTAACCTATACCAGCCCAGCGGTCTGGCCTTTACTGAGATCAGCTATTCCCTGTTCGGTGTGACAGCCACATACACACGCCCGACTCATACGAAGTGTCAAAATGTAAATAGATAGTGGGAATATCGGATGGATATGTCACTCAGTAAATGCTGCACACTCGCAGGGCCTAGTATACCTATGTAATGTAGTATGTAATGTTTTTAGCTACATTATTTTTTTAATCTTCTGTCACAACACATCAACCCAATATGTCATTCCAGGAGAGCAATCTAAGCAAATCGCCACTTTCAGACTGGTGTTGTTTGCGCCACACACATACACGTGACCCAAAACATGATCACCCAAGACAAAATTCGTCCCTCTCGATGTCCCTGCCGTCTAAAAAGCTTCAAAACCAGCTGGAAACGCGCGCAAAAAGGCAGCGACAGGCCCGGGACTCGAACCCGGAATCTTTAGCTGTGCGGTAGGTTCGAGTCCCGGGCTTGCAAACTCGACTTTTTTTCCGGAAACTAACGCGTTGACCATTACGCTAACCCGCCTTGTCTTGATTACTGCCCTTTGCATAAATTCGTGAAACTCCAAAATTTCTCCACACGTCCCACGTGATTATGACCGAGGCCCCCCGAGCCAAACACAAGGTCAATCAGATAAGATTGTGAACAAGTCTCTCCGACTGTCTGCTAGTGCTCTTGTGGATCTGAAATTACGCCTTCTATACCTTCAAAAAAGCCATTTAAAAATTTCTATGAATAAAATTATGGATAGGTACAAGATATATAAGCCCTTGGATCCAGGCGATCGGCTCGGCCGGGTATAGCCGGTCATTGCCATAGTCTTTGGAGGTCACGTGTGGTGCGTAGAAAAAATTTGTAGTTTCACGAATTTATGCAAAGGGCAGTACAAACTTGAGCACTACATCCACCCCCGGTACTACCCTGGTAACGCACCGCCACTGATCACCACTTCAACCTCGCCCGCCAATCGCCAAGTTTTCACTCATCGCAACCGCTCCTGCCACTCCGCTCCCCACCACCGCGCTCCTCCCCCACAGTCCACCACTAGGCAACCGCACCACTGGCCATTCCACTACCGCCCAATCTCTAATCACCTCCTGCCACTTCAACCTCGCCCACCACTGCTGCTCTCCTGTTGCCGGCTACGGCACTAGCCGGTATCCCGGGTCAACTAGGAACCGGCCCGCCCTGCCTTCCACCGCACTCACCACAAACCAGCCACGCTTCACACCGATCCTAATCGCCTCTCGTGTCACTCCAACTCTTCAGCGCCTGCCGCCGGCCACGTTTCACATCCACTGCCGCTCTCCGAACCCCGGGTCGGCACCAAGCTTTGTCTTGCAACTACTCGTACTGTGACCTTTAATTGGCGGGCTTACTGGGCGGTGTCCACCACCATCTCTCGTCACCATCTCGTCCCAGTATTTCTGGTCAAAAGCGTCCCAACCTCTCCCGTCACAGTACCTCGTCTCACTATCAGCCGTACACCGCTCGCTTCCCCGGGCCGTAGTGACATCACGTATCACATGACCGTGAAACGCGCATTTAACGACGCGCCCAATGTCACATCCCCCTCAGCTCCTTCACATGGACAGCTCCCTTATGGGCAACCTCATTGCCATGGACAGCTCGTACCCGACGCCCTCGCCACCTATTTAAAACTCTCGCAAGCGACGCAGGCTCCCAGCCGAATCTCAATCCCCTACTCCCGACCCCAAACAGGCTCGAGTCGAGGAACATAGCTCTGTTCAAATTGGTGCCCGCGCCAAACCTGCCGCCTCAAAGCCTGCCGCCACCAAGAAACCCACCGCCGCCAAGAAAAGAACACCCGCAAAGCCCAAAGACACGAACAAGATCACCATCACCAAACCTGCCGTCGAACTCGCTCTCGCCAAGATGCACCAGCTTAGCTTCAGTCTCCTCGAAGTGAAACGTGAAATCGAGCACATCGCCCTTGCCCGTGAACGAGAAAACAACAGGGGCCTTGAAATTCGCAATAAGGACATGCACATTTCTCTCAGGGTTCTCGAGTTGATGCAATCTTTGGGTATTTGTACGCATACATGTACCCCACTTTTCGCATATACTCACCAACCAACAGTAGTGCCAGCCCAAGACGCCACCAGTCAATATCTAGGTACTCCCACCGCCTCAGGTAACGCATATAGTTTCCCTGTACGCATATAATTTAAAACTCGTTTCTGAGGTTCAGTTGCCCCAGACGTACAGCCCGCTCGCGACGAAAATCCTGCCGCCCAAGAGGCCATCCTTGCCCAGGAAGCTTTCACTACCCAACTTTGTTAATTTCCGTTCTCCTTGTAGACCGTAGCTCAGCGCTCAGCGCTCATCTTTGACCAGCTTTGAACGGTTTGACAATGAACAAGTGGTTTCTTTCGTGGACGTGTTGTATCACATTATTTGTCTTCTCGTCGTTATAAATCGTGAATTCCTGTGCCAACCTCTCTATATGCTACCATGAGTGTTCACCGCCTCCTCCCAGGCGACGTCGGTGCTCACGCTCACGGCCCATCCCTGATGGTTGCCTCAACATCGGACAGGCCTCCTGTACTACCAACTGCTCTACTACCTATAGCCACGGTTTCAAATGCCCCATACGTACCCGTCCCGTTGTCCAGCATCCAGTTCTCCCTCAAGGCACTGTCTGTCCCTGCCAGTGTCCTGAAAGAGATCGCCCGAGGCACCGACAGTCAGACGGTGGACGGCTATATGTACCTCTATAACATTGTCTTGCCCACCCGCAGCGATTCAAGTTCATAAAGGGCAACCACATCAGTATCTTGGACACGGAACACGGCGACTATGATCCAAGCAACGAGGACGGCCACAGTGAAGACGGCAGTATCGAGAACGATGGTACCGAATCTCGCGGTCGGGGTAACGCCGATACGGCCATTCTTGGTGACGGGGAGGCACGTCGCAAAAGAAACTTTCAAGCCGACTTAAAAGAAGCCCAAAGACTTTTGTCCGCCATAGTCAGTCTACTCCCTCTCTCTAATCTATATTACGGCTAACCCATCTCTCGGCTCGAGACCAACCAAGCAATACAATTACTCAGAGACAACCCAGACGAATTCGCAGATATACAACAGCTCCTTGACGAGGCGGAGGAACAGGGCCCGAGTGAATATTATGGAACAAGAAGGTACCAGAAATTGGGAGATTTCGCTTAGAGAATCACAAAGAAAATATGCATAGTGTACAATGTCGGCCGATCGAGCCTCGAAATTTCAATGTTTAGTAGCAGCCTGCTTTTGGCTCAGCGCAAGCCATTTACGTAGAACAGGAAGCTGGCGCGTCTGGGATTGCGCGCCCACATGCTCTTAATTCAGTATAGCGCCGCAGTTGATCAGGTCGTAGTGGACTCGGGATATAACCTGGCCCGTGGGCGCGCTGGTCGTCCTGGTAGGTCTATGTAACGCACACCATTAACACGCTTTCGCCATCCCCCGACCTTATGACTGCATCGCCCTCTAGGACATGGCTTAGTTACAAGGCCCTTGTGGGTACCAAGATACCGGACGAGCTCCTCGACTAATATGCAAAACGTTAATTACTTTTCAGCACTGCTTGTCTGATTTAAATTACGTTCCGACTCGCACCTAAACGCCTAAACGCGCGTCTCGGCCTCATCAAGCCCACCGGGATAGACATAGTATTCAATTCCAGCCCGCGTGTGGAACGCATGGAACGCCGATGACCGAAACTTCGCTGGCTACCAGCAGATATCTGGGGAAAGATGTAAGCTCCGAGAGCAAAACGGTCGTATGCGTCGCGGATACTGAGTCGAATCCATGTTGACGGGTTCTAGTTCGCAGAGGTAAAGTCTACTTCTAGGCATCGAGGGCATGGACGGGTCCCGTCTGTTAGGGGTCCTTCGGGGAATCTAATTTGATCTCTGCTATGCTCTTCGATGAACTCGACGTCATTCCAGTTACCCGGAGTATAGGGGGTGCGTGATTAGCAGGTACACCAAATCGATATTTTGCAGCTGAGTTGGGCCGACTCTGGTCGACCATATGTTGTGTGGTATGAGCATAATCTGAATCGATTTTATTCGAGCCACTCTGGTCTGTACCTTTGCCTCTATGCGTGTTCAATTCATCAGAGCATCACTAGAGACCCAGGTACAGACCCGACTCGCGTTTCGAAAAGGCGAAAAAAAGATCATGAAATAGACACCCTTATGACATGCTCGAACCATCGAATTAGACAGCAAATGATATGTGGAAGGACGGATCAACTTACGAGAACTGAGGGGGCTACGTCAATCAAAGTACAATATGAAACTGGTATGTTCAATAAGGCAACTTTAATTGTGGAGGTGACCTAGTTAAACCATCGGTGTTAGTCGCATATACCGTTAGCAATTGGTTGCAATCGCTGACTCGATCCACAAGGTCCTACAGGTAGAAATGTGGGTTACCATCAACGGCAAAGCATTCGAGACTGCGGGCAACCCGCAAGCTTTTCAAGTACGCAAGAGTGCTATCTATCTATTAGTATAATGATGCTGGTAAAAAAAACTCTTGCTTACATGTGTTGAAGAGAGAGTTTGGTCGGTGGCTGTACACTGGACTCTTATTTGTCACCGACCAGCGAAATTCTCAGAACAGCTCTCTTCATACATTCTGTCTCTCTTGATTACACGAAAATCGAGGTCTACTACCACGGAATGGCATCCTATCTGGTACCTGACTTCTCGGATCTTTGTCCGGAGAAACCTTGTGAACTACTTGCAATAGAGAGTCTATCGAAACCGGGACTGCCTCGACTGTTCGATCTCGTGTACTGTAACTAGCTTGAACCGCTATAGAACTGAACGTAATGAACATTCGATGCCCTTCAATACATCCGTCAATACATCCGACCCCGGACCATCGCGTGCACCTGTCCGATACTTGTCCGAGTGTGCTTACACTCCCCATGTGACTACTTACCACAAGACCAACCGATCTACACCGGGCCGTCTGTTCTCAAGTCATGTAGCGGTATCATCAGTATATTTTGTAGGTTCCTGAGTACCTTTCTGACACCATGTGCATTAAAAGTTATTTCAAGCGCAGATTTTGCTCGCTTCTCTCATAACAACCATTTAGCGGCGCAATTCCTCCGTTCAAAGCACCGCGACCACTCAAAAATCTGGAATAAACAGGAATAACAGCGTCCCGCCGGCCCGCCCCAGTTGTATAAAACCTTGCTGAGGACGATGTGGCAGAACAGAAATCTTCTGAAATGTGGACGCCTTTACTTCTATCGACTTTGTTTGGAATAGCTCATGCTGCCAAGGCATGTACTGGCACTATTTCGTCTCTCAACGGTATGCTGCATTTGAATTCAGCTCACGGTGC